TGTTAATCCCTGATGTGGTAACTTGGTCTAAATGTAGGTTCAGAAGGTTAAATTACTTTTTTACACAATTTCTCACCGGCCATGGCTCCTTTAGGTCGTATACGTATAGAATAAAGAAGACAACAAATGATCTGTGTATAAATTGTGGCGTCATAGACGACGCAGAACACTGCATTTTTGCTTGCACTACTTTCCAAAGAGAACGGAATAACCTAATATCAAGGCTAGGAGCGATAACGCCCAACAATCTGATACAGAAAGCGACGCAGAACAAAGAATCCTACGATGTTACTGTCGACATAATTACGCAAATTTTAAAGAAAAAGGAGACGCTAGAAAAAGCGAGACAGGAACAAGGTGGATGAGGTAACAAATTATACAATGCGCTGTCATAAGTGCTTTACAACTCGACTGCACGACGGAATAGACGGCACTTTTACAGCCAGATCTGTAATTATATTACGTACGTAGTTTTCACGACCTTATGACTCATTTATTTCACATTCCTTCCTTGTTAGGCTAAACACACCTGCACCTTTTAGGACCCAATATTTTGTTTCCCCACAATACCGTCGATGCATACCATTTTAAGCGCTTCTTATCGTTTTTAGGTAAGAACACTTTTACAATTTTTTCCCAAACTTTCAGACTGCACAAGGCATCTCAATGTTTCGTTCACCGATTGAACTCGTCCGGGGGTGCCTTGTCCGAAGAAGGGGTGGTTTTAGTTGGTAGGCGACTGGTCAGGGGTGCATGTGGCGCATATAATCCATACTTTGGATGCTATGTCCTAGCATGTGCTCCTTTCCGGATTGAATCCAACAGTACTAGGGACATCTTTCCCTAGTCGGTTCAGAACCTTTCCACCTCAGTCCAAAAAAAAAGGGTTTGCGACTGGCGCATATCGTGATTATCGATATTGGGTAAATCCTGAAAAGATTCCAGCAAAAAAATAGCTTTCTTTGGAAAATGTCCATTATTGTCTGAGTACACACATTTCAAATTGATTAAATTTTAGACTATTTAAATCTGTTTTTCCATAGTAACAATTGCCTTCTTTATCACTCTCGCTGTCTGAATAATGTTCACTCGTTATAGCAACAGCTTCGTTTATCTTGTCATCACTACTTCCACTATCTAACTCTTGACACCTACGCAAGCATGGTTGCTCGAAATCTAAGACGTAAATGCTACGAGATCTACGCATCTTTTAATTGCAATTTTATAACACCAATTAGGTTACGGAATCTGTGATACTCCGATGATTACTTTAGTTCAATATTTCAAATCTGAATGACAGTAACTAATCTCGGTATGCGAGAACTAACTAAAAGCTAAAAAGGTGCACGAAGTCATGGGACTGAAGGGTATAGGTGAAAAGAAAAACGTGAGAAAGTAAAGCGAGGAGTCTGGAAGACTCCGTGTCACCAGTTAAGGGTTATTAATCGTCGTAATGCTAGATATAAGACAATATCTTAAAAGTTTTCACATCGTACAAAATAACACATTATTTTACTTGCATTTACTTTCTTTATTCAAGAGATAAAAGGTTTAATATAAAAACTGGTTCTTTGGTATTCGAGCGATGTTAAAATTATACACAAAAAGTAAAAAGTTCTTTTAAAATGATAGAAATGCAGCAAATTTTCCGCTTCAGATAAGTAACGTTGAAACTTCGAGCGACAAAAAATTACATTAAACTGATTTTGCATATCTGATATTCACTCAGACTATACATTTTAAATTCGTTTAAATAAAAATGGATATAATAAAATAGAAAAATATGAAACACGTTTTATAAACGTCTTTTTTCTTTTGAGTATAAATATTTCATTTTGGAAGCTATTTCTTAAATTCTTAAATTAACGTAATTTTCAGGAACGTATTACAAAAATATTAAAAATATCATTTTGAAATTATATATTATATAGGTTTTCAAATTTTTTAGACAGGTACGAGGTTTGTCACAAAATTATAATTTTGCTTCAAAGTAAAGTACATTTGAGGAGCATATATGCAAAAACCGATAAATCCACTTTTTTAAATTTGGAGATAAAAGCCAAAAACTTGTACAGCAAAATCCCATAACAATTTAAAGAAACATCATATGGGAAATTAAACAGAAAACAGAAATTTATCGGTTTTTGCCTGAAAGATCTTGGCAAGAACATCATATTTTTGTTGTTAATAAAAGAAAATAAACAAACTAGAATGTAGAAAATTATTTTTATTATAAGTATTTAACAATTTGAACAAAATAAAGTCAAATTTAAAGCGTTGGTTCCTCTTCCAGGCAGTCACATGTCTCCCCATCCTCTTCCTCCTCATCCTTTTCATTTGAACTTTTGCAATTAAGCAATTCCCGGTACCAGTCAAGTTCTTGTAATTTCTCCCAATCTTTATCGAACTGTTGATTTAATAAATGTTTACGGTTTTTTATTTTCTTTTCGGGGATACCCCGAGTCAATTATTTTTCTGAGTTGGTCAACTCAATATCGGAAAATTTGGGTTTCAAAAGTTTTTCTAAATTTTCCAACCCACTGGAAGTCTCTAAAGAGAATTGTGGCTTTTTTAGAAGCTTTTCTACTCTCTTAAATACCCTGTCTACTTGCAAATACCAATAGCCCCTGACTGGAAATACAAGTAATATTTCTGCTACTTGAACTGGAGCTTTAAATCTAAGCCAGAAGTACAGAGAATGAATAATATGGGAATTTTTGTTTTGTCCACTGCATCCATCGCAAAAGAGGCGAAGTGTAATAATATTGTACTCTTAAGAATCCAAATAATTTAGTGCAGAATCTATTTCAATTGATCCCCTACCTGTCTGATCTTCAGTCCACGTCAAAAAAGGTGGATGTTTGGACTGGCCATCAACGCAGCAAAAACATACATGCTAATCTGCTGTGCATAAAACCATTATTAATAGGTGTTTTTTTGCAAAGGCTGCACTTGCTGCGTATCAAAGAAGAATGTAATGGAATTTTCAGGAGTTTACATTATGTTTAGGGTCGCATTAAGTAAGGTACATGCCATGTAAATTCTTTATTTTTGGATCAGCGGCCAAATAAATTCGTCTTGCTTTCTTTTTATTATAATGACTTTCTCTTTCTTGTAGTTTACCAATAAACTCTCTTATTTTATTCTTTATAAAAACAGATATTGTGGACACGTGATTTTCTTTTGGGATATTTCCATCTGACAATGTTTTAGCAACGTATAATAGCAACGTATAATTTATGCTATCTTTTTTAATATTCACATATTTCAAGAAAAATGCCTGGCAATGGGTTAAATAACGAACTTAAACGAATATCTTCATTTATTTTTTATCTGTTATCTTTGCTTGTGCAATTTATGTCTCTCGATCTCACTTTTCTTTTTTTTTCTATTTCCTATACTAATTTTCAACACACTTACTTCTAATGTTAGATTTTAATACAATTATGTTTAACAACTGCTTAATACGTAATTCATAAACAACATAACATAACCTCTTAAATCTTTCCCCCTTAATTTTGACAACATGATTAAGGTAACACAGTTCTCTCGTTTTTAATTTACAATGTACTACCATAGGAAAATAAGTATACTTCTTTGTTTATGCTATTACTATAAACGAATCCCGAAACAGCATAAAGAAACCTGCTATGTTCGATATAATAGATTTACATCATAGATTGCGAATTAATTATTTAAGGATATATCGGGTTTTGCTTGAAATTTGGATTTATCGGCATTTGCTCGAACTGGTCAACTTTGTACATCATTTTAAAGGCAAAATATTGGTTTTTGTTGGAATTTTATATTCTAGAAACAGACAGAGCTACTAAATTGATATGAATCCATATTCAGGTTAAAAAATTCAAAAAATGGATTTATCGGTTTTTGCATGTATGCTCCTTATTTATGTGATGGAAAATTATTATAGTAATAAGATTATCAGAATTAGAAATCACAATTAAATACGCAATTTTAATAATTTAAGTAAAAAATTAATTTTGTTTTGACTACGGGAGCGAACTAGGTTGTGGTTTTCGGAGCGAACTAGTATGTAATTAAGAGGGTTTTTTGACCTTGGGAACGAACTAGTGTGCTCCGATAAATCCTCCAATAAAGCCAATAAATCTAACATGTAAAAATTAATATAAATATAGTTAATAATATATAAAAATAGTCAAAAGTAAGATAAGGTTTTATATATATTTTTCAATGTTAAAGCCAAATATTACCTCAATAATGTCACACTAGGGTTAGCTTTTCTGTAATTTTACATCTGTTACAAATACCTATTTTTTATACACAATAATGTGACTGGTTTCATGTAGTGCTTTTTGCCCTGCCGTTTTATTATTATAACCCTCCCTAAATGTATTTATTAATGTTTATAAACGTAAATTTTAGGCAAAAGTCCCTTTTATACCAAGCCTGTACGAAATACGCTTCAGACGTCTCAAAACAACTACTGCGATGCGACGTGAATATTATTACATAGCGTTGCTTTTTTTACGTAAATCACTTTAGTTTAGTTAAGAACCATTTGTCGAGTAAGAAGCAAGTATGCATGTTTATTGTTTATAGTTAAATAGTTGTCTACCCTAAAGATACATTGACACGAGATCCACATCATAAATCCTTTTTAAAACCACGTCATAAAACACGAAAACAAATTTTGCAAATAAATGTCAGATATCTAGCATAGTTCTTTTATTAAATCTTGCCCAAGTAATTTCGTTTACAAAGCATCTTTAGTGTCATTTCGTTGTTTATAATGCTATATTATAGGCAATGGCAGGAGACATAATAATTCTGTCCCCTAAGTCCATCGCTTTTAAGGCTTGTCAAGGTATAGGAATTGATGTATTAATTATAAATTTGTTTAATATTGACACCTTGTGTACTTAAACTAAAAGATTTTGATAGCCTAAAAATTTGACCACCTGTCTGAAAGTTATATGACAGAAATTGTTACCTGAAAAAACTTTAAATTTTCTATAAAGTCATAGTCCATTATAAGGTATAATACTTTCGATATCACCCTCTTTTTTCACAGTTAAAATAGCGTTAAAAATAATTTTTAACTGACCTGTTGATTCCATTCTTGAGGCAGTGTTGACGGTATCACCGAAAAGGCAGTACCTTGGCATTGTCAATCCAACCACTCCGGCACAGCATGGTCCCGAGTGAAGTCCTATTCTTAATCTCAAGGGAGTTCTTGGTAGATGCCTTATACAAAATCGACCACTTTGATGAAGTAAATCTAGTGCCATTGTTGCTATCTGAAACAAAATGTTTTTAAAATAGATCTATAAAAAATACTGCCTGTGTAAGTATAAAATGGATACAGCTGTCATTGCTAAGGCCCAGATAAGTCTAACTATGGTTTATTAGTAGTCTATTTATTGTAAACAATAATACTTGTCTTCAGTTAAAACTGGAATAATAACTTGACGATTAACACTACCAGAAATAAGGACAAGGGATATGATTATTAAAATAGCAGGTCACTTCTTATTCTAGTTCCCTGTTTGATATTGATACTTGAATATCACATTGACTATCATGACTATATTGGCAGCAGCTCCAAATAATGATGAAGCCGATGTTACTTATTATCGTTTTACTGTTTTTACGTCATGCTGTACTTTTTCTAAAAGGACGACGTTTATCTTAGATCAGAGTTTCCCAAACTATTAATTTGTCAAAATTATTTGACAAAACATTTGACATATTCTGTCAAAATATTATTTGACAGAAATAGCGTGCCTAATTTACAATTATCTGATGGTTTCTCAAATTTAAGTTTACTTTACTGTTTAAGTTTAAATTAAAAACAATTGTTTTATTTTAATACAATTATTTTAATGATTGCGATCTGTCCCACTAGTAATTAGTAGTAGATACTTCTGCCAGAATAGCATTTACAATAAAAATAAATAATAAGAAGTCGACTGCACATTGTACACCGCGACACATTAGCTTGTGTCTAAATCGCAAAATTCTTCCATGATAATCGCGAAAGCGCTCGCGACTAAATGGCACTCTGGAACGTTCTCGTAGCCTCGTTTTGGCTTTATATAAACGGCGATGCGCAATGAAACCTCAGTTTGAATCCAAACAGCCTATGGTGGCGAACGCGGTGTTGAGTTATGAGTAAATATTTTACGACTTACGTATTCCCGTTTAAGTCTACGATAAATTATAAATTATGGATAAGTTTTTAAAAAGAAGTGCAGAACTATATACGTCTGAAAGTGGCAGTAGCAGCAATAAAAAGAAAAACAGATTCTACATTGATGAATATCTCAAATATGGTTTTACCGTTATTTCCAATAAACCACAATGTGTTATTTCTGGACAAGTCTTGTCAAAAGAAAGCCTGAAGCCATCAAAGTTACTTCGACATTTAAATAGCAAACATCCAGATAAAAAAGACAAGCCCGTAGAATTGTTTGAAAGAAAGATGAACGTCCTTCACAAAGAGCAAGACAGTTTTCCCATAGTAACCACTACTAATGAAAAAGCATTATTAGCAAGTTATAAAGTTGGTTATCGTGTTGCCAAAACTAGTAATCTGCACACAATTGCTGAAAATCTGATTTTTTCAGCAGCTGTTGAAATGGTACGTATAATGTGTGGGAAAAGAGAGGCTGCAAAACTAAATACAATACCTCTGTCAAATAATACTACCCAAAAAAGAATTATAGATATGGCAGAAGATATTCAAGCGCAAGTTGTGGAAAATCTTAATAAATGCACGTACTTCTCTCTTCAAATGGACGAATCCACAGATATATCTAACTGTGAACAATTTATTACGTTTGTAAGATATGATACAAATAATGGCATTCAAGAAGATATTTTATTTTGTTCCCCATTGAAGACCAATACAACTGGAAAATGTTTACTCGGCACTTTTGTGAAACGTACAAGTAAATATAATATTGACTGGGGTAAATGTATTGCTATATGCACAGATGGCGCTAAAGCTATGACAGGACATAAATCTGGTCTTGTCGTCAAATTACAAGAAATAATGCCAAATGGAGATATTGTTTTTTACATCGAGAAGCTCTTACGTCCAAAACTTTACCTCCTGAAATGGACTGTGTTATGAAAACCATCATTAACGTTGTAAATTCCGTTAAAGGAAAAGCTTTGCAGACCCGTATTTTTTTGAAAAATTTGCGAAGACATGAGAGCTTTATTTGAAAATCTTCTCTATCACATCGAAGTAAGGTGGCTTTCAAGGGGCAACGTCTTAAAAAGAGTATTTCACTTCAGAGCAGAGCTTTTAATGTATTTGAAAGATGAGAAGTCCCCATATGAAAATCAATTTTCCGATCCTATTTGACTTCTGAAACTAGGTTTCCTTGCTGATATTTTCGAGCAATTAAATATTTTGAACGGTAATTTACAAGGTCGCGACATTAATATAATTACAGCCACAGATAAAATTAAGGCGTTTCTAAGAAAAATCGATTTATGGTAAAAAACAACTTCCAACAATTATTTCCCCGAAGAAATTCAAAACAGTTACGAAAGTTGCAGATGAATACTAAATCCATTTTTAGCCGATTCCTTTCAGCATGTTGAAATACCAATTAACATGAACGAAAAACTTATTGAAATATCAAGTGATGGAATGTTGAAGCTCCAATTTTTTTCCCAGAACTCGGACCAATTTTGGACCGAAAAGATGCAGGAATACCTCCAGTTGGCGAGTGTAAAATGTTTGGTTCCATTTGTGTGATTGTTTCTCGTCTACGACTGCCATTAAAACAAGAGTTAGAAATCGTCTCGTACTTGAAAATGATATAATTGTGTGTGCCTCAAATACACAGCCTAGATTTGAAAGATTAGTTTCACAGAAACAGGCGCATAGCTCTCATTAAGATTATAATATTTGACTTTGTTTTACTCTTTTATTTTTACGGACTTTAATATTTAGTTTTATATGTCGTCTGATAATGAATTGTTAATTTCTATTTACGGCGTTGTTAAAATAAAAATACATGATCTAACAAAGGGGTGCTTTTGTCTTATTTTGGAAATGTTCGGCGACCCCCCTTGTAACTCATGGCGACCCCCCAGGGGGTCAAGACCCCCACTTTGGGAAACACTGCCTTAGATCTTTTCTTATATGATGAGATGCAAGAGTCTATAATTTTCATAGTACCTTATAATTTTACCGAAGTTTTCCAGCTTACTTTGTTTTATTCTGATTAATAAATGGGTTATTTACCATTTTTGTGTCGTTTTTCTAACTTTCCATAAATTATTGAATGTTTAATACTTTCGTAAAATATTTCAGAGATCCACTTTTGACCTGCAAGTTTATTTAAGAAATTGATTGTGAACTTACATAGTATACGAGTAGAAAAATATTGACACACCAAATACTTTTTTTTTTTTTTTTTTGGCCTTAGGTACAAGACCTATTTAGCCAGACAATATAGGTATAAGAATATAGAATACATAAAAACAATCCTTCAAATTCATAACAAGAGCACCAAATACTTTAAACGTGACAATTAATGGTAAAATAATTTGGGAAAATTTCAATATTTTATTTGAACTTGTTTTCATTAAATTAACTATAACTTAAAACACATCATCAAATGTGAATTACACAATATCTCTAATTTGGTTCATTAACCATTACTTTACACAAGAGTAATTTGGCTAGTTACAATTTTATTTATTTACAATTGTATTTCATTTAATACAATAATTGTTCCACTCAACTAGTTTTAACATTTGCAATTACGCAATTAGGGCTGGGAAAGATTAATCTGTTTTAAAATCTGTCATACAAAATGTTTTAAAAATCCGAACACCCATCATAAATTATTATATTTTGAAAATATTTTATATAATTATACAGGGTAGCAAAATAAACAAATATCAAAATTTCAATATGATTGAAATAACTTACAGGGTTAAATTCATTAATAATTTATTGTTGAACCTCAGTGGTTAGCAATATACTTTTAAATTTTTCAAAAATGCTTTTTAGTTTTTACAGGATTTAAAAAATATATATATACATTTAAAACACATTGAACATTTTGACAGGCGACATTTTGCGCCTTTCCCCTTTAATACCTTACGATCACAACTACTATTACTTACCTTATATAATTACGATTAGAAAACGATTCAAATTCAAAATAAATAGGATCAACTTCGGAATCCGAGTCGTCTTGAGGGTTAATAATTAGCGGTTGTGTCTTTACTGTCGCATCAATTATGTTATCAAGATCCCACGTTTTTTTGTTCTTCTTCTATTACATGTCTTACTGCATCTTTCCAGTTTTGTTCTGTAATATCATTGTAATATGTTGTAAACACTCGTATAACAATTCACGTACAGCTTGTATTTTATATGACGTATTTTTTCTAGCCACATAACTTTTTATTTGTGCCTAAATGAGTTCAATTGGATTTATTTCGCAGTGGTAGGGTGGAAGTCAAAGGACTGTGATGTTTCGCTTTTCCGCCATTTTGTCAACTACGTATTTCTTGAACTTAGATTTGTGTTGCCGGACAATTTTTAAAAGTATTGCTTTTAGCATTCCATCTTTGTAAGGCAGATAGTTATTCCGCAGCCAGTCAAGAATATCCTGTTTCTTCCACGCAGTCATTGGAAATCTTTCTACTAGTAGTCGTGAATAATAAGGTGCATTATCTAATACTATATTTGAATTTGGTGGTATGTGTTCAATCATCTGCTCAAAATACTCATCGAAAACATCACCTGTTATCTCCTCGTGATAGTCTTTTGTGCTTTTGGACTGAAATTCCAACAAACCATGCTTAACAAATCCTTTTTCACTGCCAATGTGAGAAACTATTAATCTACTGCCTTTACCAGAAGGTGAGAGATACCAGTAGACCAACCTTCCATAAAAGCTTACCTAGAGCTTAATATATTTTTATCTGACCAAATTTTTTTTAGAGTATGACGTGAGTTTACCCACGTTTCATCCTGGTAGAAGATTGGCCTTTCTTCAGCCCGGAATTTTCGTAGGGATTTAAGATAATTTCTTCTCCAAAATATTATCTCCTCCCGGTTAATCAAAAGTAATTTTCGGTCTGATTTCTCCCACCGGAAATCTAATTCTTTTAAAACTTGCCACAATTTAGTTCGTCCGATATGAGGTAAATCCAGGTCGTCTCTAACTACTTGTAAAATTTTGTTTAGGTTTGGTATTTCTTTTTTGAAAAAAAAAATCAATGAATTTTCCTTCGCATACAATTTTTGTCAAATTACTGCGATACTGCGAACAGTGTTTGTAGGATTCTAAGAAACTAGAGCATCGTGAACATTCAGGACAATAGTCTTCTCTCTTGGTGAATAGACAGACTTACTGACTGTACGCAATAGTACCGGTGTAAAACTTGATGATGTTGATGATGAATCCATCACAAACAATCCAACAAAACGAGCACGAGCGAAAGGTACGTATATGTTCGTAGGTATATGGAATAAAAAGTTACTCACAGACTGCATACAATTCACAAAAGAAATATTCGAGACGCTAATTACTGCCGTAGACGCGGAAACACCGACGAGCCGTAAATTACATGCGATCAAAAACGTACTAAACAAAAAAATGTTTTTGTTCCTAATAACTTCACCCTTTCAAGTTAAGTTTCGAATATAAACTGAACGGACGAGGCACGTGGCCAAAGCCGGCATCGTGATACCCATTATATTATTAAAAATCTGGGGAATTCCATCCTAATTATCTTGCAACGAATAGAACCTTCGGATATGAATTCTAGGTTTTATAGTAAAGTGATTGAACGTGAATATTAGTATTGAAATATCCAAAGAGATAAGGTATTCTTATTTACAAAATTGTTAATGGTTAAATTCTTATTTTTATTAATATAATATAATAACCAACATTAGCCGTGAAAGTTTTAATTGTTTCTTGCTAAATATTAGTATTAAAACATTATTAATATTGATAAACATTTTGGAAAAAATATGTAAAACGCATTAATTTCATTGAATAAACACCTCAGGAACGCCTATGATGATACAAATTTTACGTCTGTTTTATGACTTTACGGCACATTTCGTGCTCTCCACAATTTGTGAACGGAATATACTATTTCAAATGGATAAAAACGCCGATCAAATTGGACATTATAATCAATATTCAACTTTGGAATAATTTTAAAAAACTGACACGTAATGAGAAAGTTCCTGTAATTAAACCGTTAAAATTGTTTTTATACAACACATGTTGGTCAATTTCATGAAAATGTTGTTTTCAAAAACTGAAAGATTATATTTCTCACATCATAAGTACTAAAGCAAATTTCAGGATATACTTTCATTTCATCCTCACATTATTAACCACGTTTCTTTGAATTCCGACAAGCTCGCTCTTACTATGACAAAATATTTTCGTTTGATCTACTCGGTTTAGCTTACCTGTTCTGCATGATCGGGAATCCTCACTGGCAATCCTCCGACAACCATGTAAGCGTCTCCGATCGTTTCCACTTTATAAACGTTGTAGGCATTAATGGTGGCGTCGAAACACGTGTAAAGGTCGTTCAGGAGATCAACCACCTGAAATGGCGTTGAATGGGCAGAAATTGTCGTAAAACCGACAATATCAGAGAAGTATATCGTCACTTCTTCGAACTCTTCGGGGTCAACGGGCATGCCGAGTTTTAATTTTTCAGCTACATAACTGAAATAAAGAACCAATATTAATTAAAACAAACAATCGCAATTGGCATTCATAACTTTTATTTAAAAAGGAAACCATTTATGATTAGCCAATTAACTTTAATAAGCAATCAAATTATATGGTTTAACCTTCAAAAATACGAGGTCAAAAACTTACAATATACACCAAGCTGAGTGAAAATCGCCCTATGTTTTTTTTTTAATTTTCTGTTGCGAAGGAAGTATGTATGATTTGTTTCTCAGCAAAGTACTACACAAGGTAAGTATGAACACTACTGTTCAAACTGATTATTCAGATAATATATTGAATTTATAATTACCCTCTATGCCTGTCATTCATCTGGTAGCTTTCTAACATACGGATAATTTATTTTTTGCTGATAATTTCCAACTTCTTATTTTGGATTAGGTCTATATTTTTTGTTTCCATTCTTCCTTTTTGTACATTTTTCATATATTTCCAGGCTTGCGCTACTCTACTGTCTCATAGATATCTCTTTATATTTTCACATTCTCGTTTTCACAGTTCGTTTGTTTTGTTACACAATTCTTTAGGTTTCTATGTTAAGTATTACCTAGGATTTTATGTCTTCTGGATATTTTCTTCTTAGTCATACCAGCTTTTTAATCTTTTTAGACTAAGTCACGTCGAATCCATCAATTATTCAAGTCATAGATGCTTTTTTCTGTCTATTTGCTGTTTTTTTATCTTATTTGTAATCTTTTTACAGTCAGGACATTGGTTTCAACTTTAATCTCAATATCCAAAGCCTCCTTGCCTACCAGACAAGCCTTGGTGTCTGTATTTTTTCGCTAACTTTTACCTCTCTTCTTATGTTTCCACTTCTTCTACATTTCATAGCTTTAACCCTTTCATAGACAGTGGGAAGTATAATTCCCACCATATAATATCACGTCTACAGGCAGTCTACATCGATTTTCCGCCGTTTGAGGCTGCTGCCATCTAGTAGAAATATCAGTAAAGCTACACAAAATTACTTTGGAGCTATGGTACATATATTTATATTATCATTCATACTTATATCTGAATATATGCAATATATGAACCGTTTTGACGGTTTTTTATGCAATTATGTTCTAGTTGTGAATAAATAATTGTTTACACAAAAATTAAGGTTAGTGCTAAGAATTTAAATACTATTTTTCTATTCTTATGATTTTAATACAGATTTTCATATACAAACAATGATAAAAGAACGTATTTGATGTATGATAAATCTATATTTGTAAGTGGGTTATACGTTTCCCACTGCCTATCCTATTTGTTCATTTTTATTATTTTATTGAAGAAATGAGGGATCTAGATAACCCTAGAGATTCTGGGGCTGCATTAGCTTATTTCTTTACCTGACAATAAGAAACATTCAAAAGAAGAAGCAAATGAAGGTGTTTTCGAAGAACTTGAAAGTTTGAAATAAAACTGTTTAGATACTACTGGTATGAATACAGCCTGTTTGGAATCTTCAGATGCTTAATATTCAGGTAATTTTTCTCTACCTACATCTCTGCTATATTTTCAACCATCTGTATCGGAAAATAGTCAAGATAACGAAAATAAGGGGGAATGGGATTAATACACAGATTTCTCTGACAATCTGTCACTTGATTTTTCCAAAGATACCAATTCTGCATACCATTTTACTATTGAAAATAAAGAAATTATTTTATCAACATTTTTGATTGAGATATTATTAATACGGTAGCTTATCAGACTAATCTATATGCAAAGCAGAATTGATCTAGAAGGGCTAATAAGACAAATCAACCCGTTTTATCAAATAATTGAAAAGATACAAATCTAAAAAAAATAAAGGCAATAATTGGAGTAATGATAATAATGGAAATACATACACTTTCTTAGTTTTCCAATTACTGATCCACTGGTCCATATTTAGGCGTATCAGCAGTTTCGCAAGTATTTGGATCTAAGAGATACAGAAACTAATTGAAAATTTACACCTAAACAACAATGAAAATGTATTGCCTTAATGAAAACTTGGATATAACAAAGTGCGTAGGGTGAGATCACTTGTGAAAATACGAAACAGTACAATTCAATCTACGTATAACTTTTATCTCACTTAACGTTTGATGAATCGATGATAGCGTTCAAGGGCAGATTATTACTCAAACAAGTCATGCTCATGAAGCCTGTCAAACGAGGCTATAAAGTGGTGTTTGGCAGACTCAATTACAGTTCTCAATTTACTCAATTACAAGTTCCCTATTTACACTGGAAAGGTGGCAGACATTGACGGAGCAAAAAACCTAGGTAAAAAGGTTATTAAAATCCTTGCGACCTTGCAGGCTTATGGATAGCAACAGATCACTGAGTTTCTTAGTTCATCCAATGACCTGAAGATTAATTTTGGCATTAGAATTGGCTCGTTCATCGACTTTCGATGAACGAAACTTTCGAAACGTTCGATATTAACTTATATCTTACTTTCCCCGCATAGACAATGTTTCCTCACTCGCACGGTTTAACGATTATCTGAACATGCGGTATGCTAACGGAACAAGCATTAGGTTAAGTAGTTTTTTGTCGGTTGTTATACTTATTGGCCCGTCCAACATACGGTGTCAGACAAAATTACAGTACTGAAATTATAAACAGGAGAATCTAAAGCTAATTTTGTAAGCATAAAGTCAGAAACGAAGGTTCGCATTAAAAATATTTATCGAAGCACTAATGAAATTATGATTTAGCCTCTAGTATACCCACTTTCTTCCATTAGTTATTTACCTCGTAGATACAGCCCGAATTAAAATACAAACACTTCAAAAGCTTCAACCTAATGACATTGTTGCAACAATAACAATTGTAGGTAACTACAAACAAATTTATCTTGTCTTGTTTAGTTTTGTTTCGTTTCATTTATATTAATTACTTTACAATAAAGCTAATGGAAAAACTCTCAATAACATATTTACTTTAACGTTTACTCAATTTAATTAAAACTTTAGTTTACGTAAAATTTACTTTGGAAACCTCATTAATTCACTTTTTATTTTACAAATTCTTAAGGCTACAAACTCTTTTGAAGACAAATAATTAATCTTTACACATAAAACAGTGTTTATTTTATACCAGACTTGTTTAAGTGTTTTTCCAATTTATAACAGGCATTGTTATTTTAAACTAAAAACGTTTTTAAAAGAATATTGAATTAAGTATAACCAACAGGAACGGAGTTACTATTATTAAATAGGTAAAGAAATAATAAGACTTACTCACAATCAATTTAATTTAACAATCAGACGACCGGTTTCGCTTTCTACAATTTGCAAAGCATCTTCAGGTCTAGATACAAAGTTAAACTAATGCTGCAATAAAATAAACCCAATTAGGGTGGTGTCTAATAAAAATAAAATAAACAAATAAGTTAGTTCATACAAATTATAGTAATTATGCCAATATTACATGTCTGTGGTTTTCAAAATGAATAAATTTGAATATATAAAAGGTATTAACAGACAAGGTAAGACCCACAATTGGTATAAAGTAGTAATATTATATTGTAATAAATTAATAAATGAGCAGATAAATAAAACAAAACCATTACTTACATGCCGGTACTCTATTAATATAATTGATGGATGGTAGGTCATGGTTGCAAAAATCATGTATTGTTGATTGGAGAACTTTTTTGTGCTATTGCAGTTGTTTTGACAATAAACGGGAAGTTCTTGAGGAGAACAGATTTAATCCATAGAATTAGAGATAGGTATATTGAGGTTGTTTGTCAAATGAAAGTGATGTTCTTTACTATTGTATTATCTAAATTATTTACACTTATATCAGAGATATATTTTTGGAGTGTGTGTTATTTATTGAGTATTTATGTTATGAAGGAGACAGTTTTATGACAATAAATAACACACACTCCAAAAATATATCTCTGATATAAGTGTAAATAATTTAGATAATACAATAGTAAAGAACATCACTTTCATTTGACAAACAACCTCAATATACCTATCTCTAATTCATTGGATCAAATCTGTTCTCCTCAAGAACTTCCCGTTTATTGTCAAAACAACTGCAATAGCACATTAAAGTTCTCCAATCAACAATACATGATTTTAGCAAACCATGACCTACCATCCATCAATTAATAGAGTACCGGCATGTAAGTAATGGTTTTGTTTTATTTATCTGCTCATTTATTAATTAATTACAATATAATATTACTACTTTATACCAATTGTGGATCTTACCTTGTCTGTTAATACCTTTTATATATTCAAATTTATTCATTTTGAAAACCACAGACATGTAATATTGGCATAATTACTATAATTTGTATGAACTAACTTATTTGTTTATTTTATCTTTATTCGACACCACCCTAATTGGGTTTATTTTATTGCAGCATTAGTTTAACTTTGTATCTAGACCTGAAGATGCTTTGCAAATTGTAGAAAGCGAAACCGGTCGTCTGATTGTTAAATTAAATTGATTGTGAGTAAGTCTTATTATTATTTCTTTATCTATTTGATATGGACTCACACAAGCAACACATTCATGATTACTATTATTACTTAAATGAAGGTATTTCTTTATAATTTTCACATCTATTGCAGGTCATAGATTCAAATATTTGTGGTTGACCTACAGTTTCATTCCGGTAAAGCCTCGATGATGGTAATTTCACCAATGACATCAATATTATTGTTCCCATAAATTGCTCCATTTCGTTTTCGGTAATATGGACAGGTTTGGTTATGTTATCCCGCAGAGCTTTTTTGTTTACTTCATCAACCATCATGGATATTATTTCTTTTGGAAACAAAAACAACAAATCTGCAGGAGCTTCTAACTCAAGGATACATTCTGGAAGCTCTACAATGCTTTTAAATACATAATCGATTTTATTAAAATGCTTCAAATGGACTAATTTCTATAAAAAAATTTTAGATTTATTTTTTTTTGTTGACAATTCTATTTATGCCATAGTAAAGAGGTATATTTTTATC